GTGAGAGCGTGTGGTGTCATGGACTGACAGTAGGTACTTGATGGCACCTTGTACATAGACTCTGTATATCTCGCATTTGTACTCTCCTCTAATGGGTGATTCGTCGATGTTCATATTTTCTTTCAATTCAGTGCACGTGTACAATGTTGATTTCTTCTGAATGTTGTCTATTTAAAAAAAAAGTCATTTTAAAAATGTCATTGATTGAGGGATTCAAATTCAATGAGTTTCAAATTAAGATCAAGTCAACTTTGCTATTCTATCATCAGCCAACGCGTTGGCATTTCTTACAGATGTGCTAAGGGCTTCCATAACGCTCCCAACACTGTTCAACCATTTTTGCGACTCGGTTACACTGACATTCCCGTAGAGCTGCCGCCAAGTCCACAGGAGATTTGCCCGGGTTTCTCTCCACAGATAGAGAATTTGGTGAACCTTTTCTCTGGCTTGTCGATACTCCTCTTCGATCGCACTTATGTCTACCTCACTTAAGTTCAATTTTCTTCCTAACCGTTTGCGATACTGTGAGGATCGAAGTTCGTTTTTGAGTATGTCAAAAACTTTGTCCCACATTTTCTTCTGTGTCAAGTCTGACTGTGGCATCAGAGGAGTGGTCTCAACTGGTTCAGTTCCTGTTGGTCCTGTAAGTAAAGTCCATTGCATTAGAATTAATCTTGTGTCTGCAAAAGGATGGCAGATTTGTGCATTAAAAATGTTCTTTTATGTCATGCATTACCGTAAGGAACACCTGAAAAACAGGTAAGGTACATGACATGAATTGTGTACTGAATAAACAAAAGAATATATCCTTCATCAGATGTTGGGAAGAATGTGTCTGGGAAAAAGTACTGTAACAGCAAGGAAGAATGTATTCGCGTAATAATTAAGGTTGACATACGGCCCATAGTCTTGAAATGTGGTACCCGAAAAGAAATTGTCTGCAATGGGTAAACCATTGACTAAACATCCAACAAAACAATAAAAATTCGGGTTTTGGACAAGCACAGAAAGATCTGCCAACGTCCTGGTCGGAAAGATTGTACTGCATCTGCGCGAAACCTGCAATGTATTGTACATAGCACTTCGGCAGAACATCTCATATAAGGTTGTATTCGCTCATAAAAGGTTAGCATTCGACAGTAGTTTCCAAATGTTCCAAATGTAATAGAATCTTCTAACAATGGGCCACTGCCGTGAAAACGTCATTAGCATCAACAAAACCATTATCTATATCTTGCCTTCATCTTGAAAACATACTCCCTTCCGACCCACTCAACGCAAATGACGCCACATTGTGCACTTTACTTCTTACAGGTAGTCCCTCACTCCCATACTCTACTAACTGCCGTATCTTGTGTTCAACTATATTCATCACTCTGGAAGATTTGGCCAATCACATTAACGCTATTGGTGCGCCAGCTTCTTTCATTTTATGTTCATGTCATATTTATGTTTACATTCTAATTATGTTTTATGACCAGCGGATTCACATGAGCACAACACGTGTTTTTCTATTTAGTGCTGAAAAATCCAGGCGAATAAAAAAAACATAGCAATACAAATCATTCAAACGCTATTGGTCAATATGCCACCTTGGTAGACTTGCTAATTGTAATTGACAGTCAACACCTGCTTTGTATGAATCTGACGTCAGCAATGACTTTCTGATTAAATCAAAGTCGCTACGGATGGTTAGTGGACATATTTCACTACTTCGCTTACCATCTCCACCGCCTTGTTGAAGTTTTTTCCTGACGATTCCACCACGTGGTACCGGTCCAAGCATAGGCGGTAGGCTAAGGAGTTTTAGTTAAGTTGTCAGCGCCGATTTGAAGTGCCTAGCGCCATACGAGAGGGGATGCGGAGCTGGCGCGGAAGTGAAATGCCGAGCGTCATACGAGCGGGTGCCGAAGGCACCTGAAGAGCGGCGAAGCGAGCGTCATACGAGCGGGTGCCGAAGGCACCCGAAGAGCGGCGAAGCCGCAAGTTCGGGACGAGATAGGTAGGAAATAGGATTTGAATTATCATCATTTTCTATGAATCTCCGGGATGCACGTCAGAAAATTGAAAGGATATATCATCAATTACATATCTAGTGTCTATAGAAACAATATTGGGGGCACAATACCCATTTCGACACTAGATATAGCGCATTTTGTGTTGCCCACTTTGTGGCTCAGTACTGCCCCCGCCGCACAGGGCGCTGTCGCACAAGATGATGACATCATGGCTAACCAAGCAGAGGCAGGGAAATTTGACCTATGACTCACAACTCCCGCCAAAAGTTTTGTACCAGTGGTGGACGTTCGTCTCGTCCCTTAGCTTCATCACTTCTTGTATGTCCGAGGTCAGCCAAGGTGCTGAATTGGATCTAACTGTAAACTTTCGGATAGGAGCATGTTTGTCACATATGTCTTGTAAGATATCTGTAAACATGTCCGTTGCGTCATCGACGTCATCAAAGTTGTAGACTAGATGCCACGGCGCCTCATGTATGTCAGACAGAAAATCCTCCTCCTTGAACATTTCCTCCAAGACTACAGGTGGTCCAGAACAGGGCAGCAAGGCTAGCTCTTGGTTGTGATCGGGATGCACATGTGGACACCATGCTGAAGACATTAGGATGGCTGACTGTCAGGGACAGAATCCAACAGAGAAGCCTTGTCACATTTAAACGTATCATGCTCACCAAACAACCAAAGGCCTTGTACGACAAAATCACATTCCAATCTGAGATCCACAAGTACAGCACACGTTCAACCAGCACAAACAAAATCAGACTACCAAAACCAAAATCAAACTCTCAGAAAAAGCGCTTTATGTACAGGATGTCACACACGTGGAATAACATAGGCAACTAGCAAAGTACTGGATTGTAAATAGTGAATTTGTGTAAAGTTTGCCATGTACTGTTAATTTTGTAATGTTTTTGTACGTTTGTAATATATGTATGTAAATATGAATGTGTAGACCACAGGAAGAATAGCCTCTTATGAGGCTAATTGTGGATCTAAATAAAACTGAAAACTGAAACTGTCTCCTGGTCTCATCCAAAGTTCGGTAAATCTATTTGCCAGCAATTTATAGCGATTTCATTACTTGTGACGGTACTTTAGCCATTTTTTGTTGTATACAAGGTTAGTATTGGTCGCCAATCCCAGTTCCAAACATGCTGTGACATGGCCATCAATAGTACACCTGGTAGCTGTATTTGAAAAGAATTTGTGCCCTTGTTTGAGTTTTATTTTTTTATGTTGCAGGACGCTTTGCTCTTTGCTGTCAGTCTTCCCGAAGCTGCATGATGTAGTGGCTGTCAAGGGGCAGGATTGCTTTAGGTGGCAGTAGTGACGTAGGTAGAATAGTGCTAGTAGTTGTGCTGTTGCAGCTGATAAAGCCAGCTACAAATGTGAATTGTTGCACTAGTGCTAGTTGCAGTGTGTTAAATTTTAGTTTATCAATTTATGTGTGTAACATACTATAAGGTGTCAAACTGATTTTCCCTATGACAATTTCTTGAGGGACATCATATAGGGTATGGGGGGTTGTTGTAAATGGGATTGTAGAAAATAGAACTTGATGCAACATAATACATTTTTATGTGAACTTGATATCAGTGGCTGTCTTGTGAACGGATTATTTATGTCTTGAAATTTCTGCATCAAAATGTGTGTCTTGTAGTTGTAGTAGACAACTTTAGTCAATTTCTTGATAAGTGTGTAAAATCCTACACCGGTAAGTCAGAATGAGGGTTGCCACAATACAATAATACAATATCAGTAAGATAATTCTTTCAATCAGTGACTATTAAATCCTAAGGTACATACCTCCGAATTTTCGACGACTAGTCAGTTCGTCTTGGTCACGGAATGATCCTAGTCTCGCAAGAGAACGCGAGACTAGGACGAGACTTGCGTGGATCTTCTGCCCCCCTCTGCCTCCTTGCGGAGTAGAGGTAGGTAGGGCTTAGGCAGCTCCCAGCCCTTTAGATCCTAGTGAAAAGTGTGGCGTCATTTATAAATTTGTCTGCGAACACTGCGGTGAGACGTATGTGGGAGAAACAGAGAGGTCTCCAGGGGAGAGGTCAGGTGAACATCAGAAGTCGATTGACCGTAAGGACTACAAATCTGCACTTAGTCAACACCAGTTACAGACTGGACATAGGGTCACCACCCAACCTATACTAGACACGATCGAAATTATCGATCAGGAAGCCCGCAACGCACATCGGAAGATCAAGGAGGCCATACACATCCAACTAGTGGGAGCCAAGCTGAACCGCAACGAAGGCTGGGAGCTGCCTAAGCCCTACCTACCTCTACTCCGCAAGGAGGCAGAGGGGGGCAGAAGATCCACGCAAGTCTCGTCCTAGTCTCGCGTTCTCTTGCGAGACTAGGATCATTCCGTGACCAAGACGAACTGACCAGTCGTCGAAAATTCGGAGGTATGTACCTTAGGATTTAATAGTCACTGATTGAAAGAATTATCTTACTGAACTTGTACTATACGTGACTGATGAATCTCTTCAACAATAATACAATAGCCTTATAGACTCTTTCAATCTTGCGTACTTTCCCTTGTAATAGTCTGTTTTATTCTCAGCTCTCGTTCGTCTCGCCTGTTCTGTATTGTACTTGTGCCTCTTGTCTTCTTCACTCATATAGTCCCATCTTGTTCTTTTTGCAGGAATCTGAGGGGCGTCACCTGATGTTCGCTTCATTTTGTCACGCCTCCAGCAGGCCTGCTTTACTGCGGAGCGTAAAGCACAGCATTTGGTACAGCGAGCAACCTTTGATCCTGGAAGAGCAGGCACCAGCTGACTGCATTCCAAAGATCGCATGACCTGCCGTGGTTCTCCTGATCCCTCACAGACAGACTCCAGGGCAGCTTTTAGTGCAGGGTAGATACTGCCTTGTCAAGTAGACCTTCCTTGTAGACCTTCCTTGTAGATCCAACCTTCATATTGACCCCTGGCGAACTTTGGTCTTATAAACAACTTAGACATGACCATGGTCCTCCTCTTTGCCCCCAAAGTAAGTCCTGTAGTGTTAATGTGGACTTAGTCAGGGAGCATAGCTTAACACCCATGACCAACTGCTCCACTCTTGTTCTTACTGTGGACTGCCAGAGCTGTCGCACTGTTCCCATGCTCAGAGAGCTCCTATGACAGAGGTATGCTACTTGGTCATGGTTATTATTACCTCCATGAAATGTGTCATGGAGGTTATATTTTCAGTTGCGTTTATCTGTCCGTCTGTTGGTCAACAAAATAACTCAAGAACGCCTGGATGGATTGGTTTCATACTTGGTGTGTTGGTAGGGTGTGACAAAAACTAGAAATGATTAGATTTTGGTCCCCCTAGTGGCTTCCCTTGGTACTGCAGCGCAACTTCCGGTTTTGATATCTCGCGATCTGGACATGCTAGGGTCATGAAATTTTGATGGAAGGTAGCTCTCGTGTTTGGGAAGAAGTCATATGAGTTTGGGCCCCCTAGCGGCTTGTTCTGGAACTGCAGGGCACTTTCTAGCGAAATGTTTAAAAGCCAATAAGTCCAGACAGGAACAACATATTTTCATTATTTTTGGTGTGTAGGTAGCTGAGAGAGAGATGTACATAATTAAATGCAAATTAAGCAAATGAGGACTTTATTTGCATAATTAATGAGGAAATTCTATAATTACAGTGCTTTACATTATACTACTTACATACATGTAATGTATGTAACCTATGGCAGGCGGAACTTCAACAGATACTTATTATGCAAATGATGACCTAATTTGCATAATTAATGCGAAAATTCTATGATTTCGTAATGGTGAATGGTCATACTTGGGACATCTGTAAGTTAATCAAAGTAAACATACATCACGATGCATATATCATGTTAATGCAGAGGTCATTTGCACAATTAAAGAAGAAATTTACATTTACATATCAAGATCATATTTCATGGAGGTATGAGATCTCGGAATTCTAGTTAAGCCATGCTCCCTGATTAAGTCTACCTTAAAACCACAGGACCTGGAAGTGCAAGGGGATACATATTTCTATCTGCTCCCTGGGCAATAGCACCCTACTATAGTATAATTTTGCTATAGGTCTGGCATCCAGGTGGCTTTAGCTCATGCACTTATACTTCACATGCTATATGCAAAAAGTACTGGAAGGTTTTGTGTTCTGGCATTCCAGGTTCCTTACACACCTTCTTGTTGTATCCGTCAAGTTGACACTGATTCCTCTCAGCCCAGTTTATTCTTTCATAACAGCATTAGCATAACATATCAGAACATGTCCATTTATATATAAGCGGCATAATCTAATTATCTGTCAAATAAAGATTTACATAGAAATAAATTGAGAAAATAAAAACACTTAAGATGAAACTGACAGCTCCCTGTATTAGATATTATAGCATCCAAGCTTGAGGGCAAGCAAAGAAAACTATTGATTAAAGAGGAACTTGGAGGACCCAGGGTCCTCCACCAATAAAGAAACTATCCCCTGTGAGGATCTAGTAGCTAAATTGACCCCGCACATCCTCCCAACATCATAAATGGATTATAAGCCACGGGGTGTCTGAACCCGACTGCCAGTGGAAACAATAGGAGCAGACGAAAGACAGTGATTTGCATATTAAATGACGTTTGAAGTTTTGAAAAATGTTGTATTTTATCTTCACTAGTTTTTCAACAAAACATTGCCATACAAGGAATGACACAGACAGTTGCAGCAAACCTAAACACAATCCATGTAACATTTACTTGGCAGTCGTTATACACGATAAGGGCCTACAGTTTCCAATTTGAACAATTCCAGCAGAGATGAGCCTCTGTCAAGCTTCCATGTTTATTTCAAAAACTTATATCTGTAATCACAAATTGCTCATCTTATCCACAGCCAAACTTAGATTTCTATTGATATGATAGTTGTATGTTAGAAAATATACAATGTAGAAACATGTAGAAACACATTTGGCGGCTTCTTGCATTATATATTAGAATCCAAGTCTGAAATGCTGAATAGATGAAGTCCCAGTTTATCAGGATTGGCATAGTACATGCCTGTGTCCCAGGAGAGCCACATGATGCTCCACCCGGGCAAGTGCAAAGTTATGCACCTCCAATTCAGCCGAATGTTGACAGTCCCTCAACCACTTATCATAAACAACGTCACTTTGCAAGTAGTCGATTCCATGAGGATTCTGGGTGTCTACCTCCAAGCTGACCTCAAATGGGATACCCACGTGAACACACTCTGTCACAAAGCAAGTCAACGACTTTTCTTCCTGCGTAGACTCAAACACTTCCAGCTTTCGACTGACGATCTTGTGACAGTATACATATCCTATATCAGACCTGTTACTGAATATGCAGCTGCCGTCTGGCATTCTGGACTTCCGGTAGTTCTAAGTAAAAGAATCGAGAAAGTACAGAAGCGAGCGCTGCGCATCATTCTTGGTACCCACTATACATCATACAAGAGAGCATGTGACCAGCTCGGATTACCGTCTCTGTGGTCTCGACGCGAAAAACTCACCAAAGATTTCGCTAAGTCGCTTGTACAATCAACCCAGTATCGCCACCTACTACCACCGTCACGAGGGAACATAAGCAGCAGGGTAACTCGCACGTCACACAAACTGGACACACCACCCTGCAGAACAGCTAGATACTACACAAGCGCCGTGCCATACATGACCCGCATACTGAACTCATAACTTGGTGACTGTTCCCCGAGATGTTTTCATGATGAATATTCTTTTATTAATATCCAATGTTCAATCTATGTTGTCCTAGCCGAGAGTACTAATGTTTTAAACTATATGGTATTTTAACTTATTTTAACTTAAAGTAATTCTTTTAATTACTCGATTGATATGTGATCTTGTTTTAGGCGTTGAATGCTGTCTATTTATGGAACGATTCTGTTAATTACAGATCAATTCAGAGCCATGGTCTGGTGCCATGGCTCTGCCATTCTGTAAAGTTTGTGAAACAACAATAAACCATTACTACTACTACTACTACTGTGTAGTTGTTAGTCTATATTCTTGTTGTTTAGTAAAATATTATATGTACTTTTCATGTACATATCCATGTCTCCACATAATGTTGAAGAGGTGTACTTGGTATACTATCTCAGCCTAGCTCTCCCCATGTGTTCACCACGGCTGCCAGGTGCAGAATGAGCTGTGAGAGTTTACAGTACCCGAATTTATTGGGTGGTTTTATAGTCCAACCTTCCTCTTTAAACAAGTTTTCAATAATCAGCTTTTTGGTGTGCTTGTCTCCTATCGTTTTTGCCAAAATTGTTTATGTTGACTTGTGTATGGCATTGTGTAATCCAAAAGTTCCCAGATGTATCTATTGTGGTTCAGTATGGAGGAAAATGGTATTGATATCACTTTACAAACATGCGCCACGCTAGCCGGCTAGTCATGTATTTATTGAAGCATAGTCTACGGAAAAAAACTCCCTTCTGGACTTTAGGACTCCTTTAAGTCATGATGAGGGATCTTGTCAAAAATGTCTAGGAGCTGTTGGTAGAAAGCATCCTTGTCAGGGTCTTTGTGGTCGTTTGTCGGGGCATAGCACTGAACTATGCTGACTTTAGAGTGAGGAGTAACAAATCTTCAATTCCATAGTATGAATAAAATATAATTTGTTTTTCCTCATTGACAACCAACAGGTGCCAACCAACCAACAGGCCCAGGCCCAGGAAGTGGAGCAACAGGCAGCGGAGCCGCCTACCAACCAGCCCCAGGAAGTGGAGCCACAGGCAGCGGAGCCGCCTACCAACCAGCCCCAGGAAGTGGAGCCACAGGCAGAGGAGCAACCTACCAACCAGCCCCAGGAAGTGGAGCAACAGGCAGAGGAGCCGCCTACCAACCAGGCCCAGGAAGTGGAGCCACAGGCGGCGGGGCCACCTGCCGAGCAGCCACCTGCCATGCAGCCGCCTGCAGCTGCTCTGACACCTGCAGCTCCTCCGCCGCCTGCTGCCGCTATCTCAGCCGCACTTCCCCCTGCAGCTGCTCGGCCCCCTGCAGCTGCTCGGCCCCCTGCAGCTGCTCGGCCAACTCTCATGGCCTTCTGTAACAGACCTCTGGCCTTTGGACCCCGTGAGTGTACTGTGTTAATCCTCTAAAAGTTCCAAATTTAACTTTCAATCTTATTATTAAATCCTCTTACATGTACGAAATGTGAAATATGCCCATTCTTTTTTTGGAAAGGACCAAGTGACCAACTTTGTTGTGACAGAGTACATTATCTAGCTAATTCTCTTGGTTGTACATTGTAATGTATCAAGATGTAAAACGTTCCAATTAGACTATAGACCATGATAATGAGATGGAAGTCATGCACGTAACACTATCATATGATAATGATTTCTGTCAGTTTCTACTAGAGTGTTCTCTGTTTAATGCAATATGATAATTTGTATATCAATCTGGTATGATTTAATCATCAATAAAATCAAAACATAATGTTACATAATTTGATATGTTTCCATCTGCATTGTAGGTCCCACAAGAATGTTCATGCTGCGGTACCGGCTGCAGGGCCCCCAGGTGTACCCCAGGCAGCCAACTAGGGGTGCCTTCCAGAGGAGGTTCTTTCAGCAGTAAGATTCCTCGTTCCAGGGCAAGACTCAGGAAAGGGCCATTGACAAGCTTGCTGGAAGGCAAGGTGTCCATCACGAGAGGTGACCTAAAGGGATGGCCGGAGGCCATGGAACTGGATGAGATTTACAGGGATCCAGTGCCATCACCACTTTACATAGACATCATAATACAGTATTTCTGTTAGAATAGACGGACTTAAGTTGGGCCAAACCAGTTTAACTCGTTGGTTCTCGGATTTGCCTCCTCATTTATTTCTGGTTTGCAAAAGAAAATATTCTGGTTCGGAATCAACTCAAATCTGATCATGTTTTGCCCCCAACAGTTGAGAAAAGTCATGTTCTTGTTAGTTATTACAAGAAGTTATTTTTTTATCTATCAATGCAGTGGTTTGATTAAAAGTTCAAAAATCATTATTTAAGTATCTACCCAGCCTTTTGTGTTGACTTCATGGCTCCTATTATAGCATTTGGGATGCCTATTTTCATTTTTTTTTTCACAGAAAAAATCTGAGAACCAACAAATGAAATTGGTGTGGCCTTGCCTTAGAATGAGCAACAGCTATACGTTAACATCCTTTTCTATGATATCAAATAAAACACTTTCCTATTCAGCGATCAATTTTGTCTCCAATATGATTCAACATCTATTGTAGAGAATTCAGGCAAGTTTCAAAAGCAAAGGACGGTAAAATTGCATTCATTATTTCAAGGTTCTTTTGGGCAAGAATGCTATGCAAAAGTACACGATCTTTTCCACAGCTCAAAAAAAGATCACGAATCTTGCTGCTCTCAGTCTTATGCATGACAGACCAACCAGTCTTTGCATTTACGAATCTCACAATTTGTATGATACTTCTATACTAAACGGGTATACCATTTGGGGGTCTATTCCTGCACAGAGGTATATGTTTAGCTAAGAGGTGTCTAAAATTCTTGATCACATCTCGATAGTAAGTAGTTGCCCGATCATTTTGTTGACACAAATGTTATTTGTCACTATAGTATGAATATTTCCATTGTTAGGCCACACCAATTTAATTTGTTGGTTCTCGGATTTTTTCAGAAAAAATATGAAGCGACAGGGCGAAAAAAAATTAAAACAGGTCTAGGCATCCTATTATAGGCTTAAATGCTACGGAATGAGCCATGAAGTCAACACAAAAGGCTGGGTTAAAATTTAAACATTGAATTTTTAACTTTTAATCAAACCACTGCAATGATAGCTGGGAAAACTGTAACAACTAGAAAGAAAAGGACTTTCCTCAACTGTTGGGGGCAAAACATAAGCATTTTTCAGTTGATTCAGGACCAGAATCATTTTATTTTTGCAAATCAGAAAAAAACGAAGAGGCGAATCCGAGAACCAACAAATTAAATTGGTATGACCTTATGAGCACAGTTCTAAATGTATGGTTAGTAAGCATATAGCAACTTTTCTGTTTACATATATCATGACGTGTTAATGCAGCTACATAATTGAATACTTCATCTTTTTAGTATCATGGCCTGACCTTAATGATCTGATCATTTTGCAGCTATCACAGAAATCCTGAAGGGGGATGCATACTTATAGGTTTCACTAACACCAGAAATAAGTGATATTTAATCAAGTCACTGTCGAGTATGCTCACGACTTTCAACTTATGTTGACAAAGGCATCAAGTGTACCAAGGCTAAATCAAAGGTTATTTGCCGATGAGACTTTGTTAATGGCGTGGTCCGGAAAAGCCCTCTCCTTTGTTAAAACATATTTCTAATAAACATTTATTTGGTGTTTTGGAAAACGTGGTGAGTTGTCTATTGTCTAGTCTGATGTTAAAAACATTTGAGGAACGAGGAACATAATAGAAGAAACGCTACCGTCGTGAGATCTCATAACAGAAACTAGGTCATGAGATATCAAAATCGTAAGTTCAGCTGCAGTACCATAAGAAGCTGTTATAGGGGGTCCAAAATATAACCATTTTCAGGTCTCATCAAGACCTACCCATCTACCAAATATCAAGTCAATCCATTTAAGCCTTCTCAAGTTCGTGTTTACAGACAGACAGACACACGTACGCAAAACACTCCTTCTTGGTGAAGGTAATTTTAACATCAGCTATCTTATACTTATAGAAGAGACAGAAAGACAAAGACGGGCACGGACAAGTATACGTTTCGCCAAACCTCCTTGTACACGTCGTACTCTGGAGGTTCCAACCGGACGGGATCTCCGGTCCCCAGCACATCTCGATGCCAGGATGACGCCGTCCCCAGCACATCTCGATGCCAGGATGACGCCGTCCCCAGCACATCTCGATGCCAGGATGACGCCGTCCCCAGCACATCTCGATGCCAGGATGACGCCGTCCCCAGCACATGTTTGAAGGATGACGCCGTCCAAGCACATCTTACGCGGCGGAACCTGGCGCGGGTCCAAGCACAACTCGACAGGCAGACACGGCGGAGGATGTCAGAAAACTGACAAATGTTTCCTGGGGTAAAGGAGAGCCTGAGACTGTCAATACTGTATGACATTCGGGCAAACTCTGACATCATGGACAGCACCGTTGAACACCTCGTCCGGATCCTGAAGCCGCCCACCCCATCACCAAAATGCAGCTGCCCGCCGAGACTGACGAAGCTCACCAACATCTTTCCTGAGGTGAGCATTTTAACTTAGTACTACTAATAGGCTAACACTTCTTTTCTACTAGCGCTGAGACCGTAGCCTCTACCAGGCACCGCGGATCGCTGATAAGAGAGCTTCCATTGCAACTTAAGTAATGAGCCTGGAGCAACTGTACCACCTTGCATCCCCAGCATTAGTTGCTCCATTTTCTTTCAGTAGGAACTTGCTGTCATATGCCACAACCAATAGTAAGCTTGTCGTAAACATGCTGAGGAAAATTTCTGCTGGTGGCATGATGCATACAGTAAAGACTAAAGTCCTACCTGCAAAACATCGCATCAAAGCCACTGCCCTTCCCAATGGAGACTGGTAAATTACTATCGATAATGACCAAAAATTGAAGAACAGTGGTCAGTACGGGCCCAGGGAAAGATGACCTGTAGGCCAGTCCAGTCACCAAAACCAAAGAAAAAGAGGAAGACATACTTTAGAAGCATGAAGCCCAATGACCCTAAACCTTTTGAGTATGCCAGTGAAAATGCACAAGAGCCATCAGATGACAAACTAGCTAGGCCAGTCACCAAAACCAAAGAAAAAGAAGAAGACAGACTTTAGAAGCAGGAAGTCCAATGGCCTCAAACCTTTTGAAAAATGCATCCGAGCCGTCAGATGACGAGGGAAAATCACAGAAACAGAAGAAAAGGATTACAAGGAGGTTGTTTCAAACCATAGACATATCATATGCATAACATCCTATCGTATACAGCTTTTCTTCAATCAACATGCCATCTGTTTTGTGATGACAAATAGGCAACATCGGGGCATCAACAACCACCTGGTCCGCATCAAAGGACAGCTCGAGTGGATCGAAAACATCGATATCCTCGGGCGGATCCAAGACAAGCACTCGGGGTGGATCCAAGAAAAGCACTTAGGGCGGATCCAAGAGCAGTCAGGGCGGATCGGAGAACGCTATTACTAAAAATATGGGAATCATTTCAACCCAAGCAGATTGATGCATTCATTAATGAAGTCAAAGACATGGTTCTCTGGCAACAGGAAAATATTGTACAAGCCTACTTAGGTACATCATCAGAGTGGGAAGTCAGAGACAAAACTCTTCAAAAAGCACCCGAATGGTTGATAAAGAAAATCTTTAAAGACAGGTCAGGCCGAAAAAACAGCTACTAATTATGGGCTATTGACATGGAAACAGTAACAACACTGAAGAGGGAACTGAGGTGGGGGAGGAGAAGCGATAGAAAGCCTAAGCTTCTACTTGTAGGGAGATAGTTTCGAGACAGAAAAAGATGAATGGGGCATCTGGGAGTATGCATTGAAGCCAACTGGTAAGGGATTGTCGGAAACCAATGTTAAGTGTATCATACTAAAAGCTAAAAATTTGGTAGATTCTGGATTTACTACGGAGAGGTTTAGGGGTACAAAAGAAAGATTAGTTGCTGGTGAGACTTCTAAAGCTACCTCATTGTGATTTAAATGTGGCTGACAGAGTCTGGGACCGGGAACCACCCCCGACCTGATGATGATGAGCGAGTTGACAGGGGTTACAGATCAAGTGGACTTTGTGCTCATAGCCTTGCGGCTGCCTGTCACTATAATGACCTGTCAGCGTATATAGATTATATTTAAAAAAAGGGAATACACCCTGTCCAAATCCAGGTAAAAACAGAAGAAATCAGAGAAGACCTATTAAACAAACTGCCTTTCCTGCGAGAGCCAAGAGACTACGGCTGGTGAAGTGAAGAGGCTGAAAGAGTTTGGGAGAGGATCCAAGTGGAGAATCTGAAGAAGAGTTGATAAGAGAACACTTGTTGTACTCTGTAGAGAACGCAGGGTTTAAGTCCTATTGGTAAGATGGGGCTAGTGCAGCTAACCATGGACACATCTTGTTTCTTGAAGCAACCATCTACGACCCGGCAGTCTTTCTGACTAATGAAGAATATTATCAGAAGTATAAAGTAAAAGTGAATCTCTAGGCCATGGTCGAAAGACCAGAGATTTATCTCATAGCACGGTGTGGAGGGTCAGATGCGGAGCAGCTGCTGTATGCCGAGACGAGGAGAGAGGACCTCCCAACCCTGTCTCTGCCAGTCGTCAGTAGAGATGGACGCCCCTTAAAGCAAAGATTCAGGTTTTGCAAAGGGTTTGAGATCGGAAAACAGCGAGTTGGCTATTACTCCTGTACATGCCCGGCAGACATGAGAGCAGTAGATGACTTTTGGAAATGCTGCCATGTTGAAAATCCAGTATCATCAAATATCAAACATCAAAGACAGACAAAGCTTCATCATGGAAGGCCCCGTAACATCTCAAAAAGCATCACTAACCATCCCGGATCCATTTCACAGCATGACAAAGGAGGAGCTGCA